TAAACGATGGGGAGCAGTGTGCATTTGATTTTATTTGATATGAAAAGATTGGCGCTTCCAAAATTATTTCATACAATCGCGTACTATAATAATCTAGAAAGGCTAAAAGTGACGGGTATGTACAAACAGTTCGACTGATGCACAGCCCTAGACAAATGTGGACGGAAATACGTATTGCACGGTTACTGCTTGGCAAGCTCTTCCTTATTCAGTTCGAATAACCTCAATGTAAGTCGTTGATTCATTTTTGCGAATTTTTCCGTGCACTTTTCAATACAGGAAAGCTATAGAAAGAGAGGAGAGGAATTCACACATAAAATTACGCTTTCACGTACCTCTGAATCGTTGAGTTTTCGAGCCGTAAAGTTGCTCACGCATCTGTCGAAGCAGACCGTGCTACAGCGAACATATAGTTCAGAGGTCTCCTTGATCTGCATCTGAATCAAAAACAGATCAGAAGACATTTAAAAGCTTCAAACGTGTAGTCGTAGTAGTAGTGAGAGGAAACTTTACAAGCATTTCGAGGAAACGAAAGTACAACGGGAACCATAAAACATTCGGTTTTGTCGTATGGGATTAAAAAGATCACTGTCACAGGAAGTGTACTTTATGGCTGCAGGTAACCCAGTCAATCTTCAACAGAAATGGGCATTAACAATTAAACGGTGTCAGTCGGATTCAAACCAAAACAATCTGGCACACCAGATGTTTTGATTTCTGGTTGTTCGGACGCAAGCTACTGCATAGACCCGCAGCTATTCCCTCGCAGTGACAGCTGGGAAGTAATGAGAATACAAAACAGGCTTCTAGCCGCATAATAATTTAATAGAGAACTGATTGCGGCGCTACGTTGTTCCCATAACAGAGAAGTCGGTCGCGCCCCATCAATTCGAGTCAGGATGGACAGTTTTACTAACTCGGTTGTTGTAAAACATTGTAGATCAGTACCCATCAACTACTTGTTCATTCACTCGCATGCATTGCGTGGACAGAAGAACACAATACAAAGCTAATAGAGTACTTCAGAATACGGAATAACACAGTTGTGCGCTCCTAGAGATAACACTCCGAGAAGAGATCCAATATTCAGTGTCCTAGAGAAGGATTAAAGCATACACAAAATGAAATGCCTAATGCGTATCGGTTCAGCCTATGAATATCAGGCTGAATCCCATACAACTAGGATAGGTCTCTCAACTTAGTTCCCAAAACCTGAGGCGAGGTTACGAGATCTGACCAAACCACGTTACGTCATTCAAGGAAATATTCCGAAATAATTGCCTAACTGTTAAAATGCAAGAAAAGGAGCGGGGTACACATCAACTGCCCTCGACTTTCTAGTGCTTCACTGCTGCTAAGGGTGCACATCCTACGAAGTCATTATGGCTATCTCCTGCACTCCAGTGACATACTCCCAAGAGATCAGGGAGTGTGTGGTCCCTGTCTTCCAGTGGCAACGGCGAAGCAGTGAAAAGGGTTCACTCGGTTATCACTGGGTCGCGGGTCCCGTGGTTGTACAGTACCGATGAGGATCTGAAGATAGCTCCGACGTGTTGAGCAGGTCATCTGGATCCAACGGTCATGATAGTGGTTCTCCATCTTAATCACGTGCAGTTGCGCTTGGTTGCGTAAAGACTACATGTGAAGCCCCTATGAGAAGCCGTACCATAGTGTCGTGTTCGTGTATAACACAGCTTCTAACTAGTTCCAACGGATCATCTCCGAACTGAAACCGGAGACAGAAGAATTTTGCGCAATGTTGTGTTGGTTAGTAGGGATAATGCTGATGGCTGCCCAGCGAGACTGTTGAATGAAACTGTCAGAATGCTCTATCCCACTACCACTAGTTATCAGCTGTTCACATAAATTAGCACGAATACACGCACACACACATACATACGCACAAACAGCAACAACAAACACGCATTACATTACCATCAATCGCGGTCCACATAGCAGTATATTGACCAGCTTGCACTCTTACAAACATTTTACTCCATCAGTCGTATCCCGATAAAGACCCTCTTGGTAGTAACCCCAGCGACAAGGGCAACAAATGAACAAGCAACCTTCTCAGGAAGACATTCGCAGCATAGCATATGTTGGAATAACCGTACATCCTTTGATGTCAGAAGCCATAGCACCACAATGAGAGATCTTCATGACTATCAAGTTGATATCAACTAACTCCCAGGATACATCCTTCACTTCCCGGTATATGATGTATCAAAGCATCAGGTGAAGAAACCTCTCGTGAGCTTGACTGTTTCGGTCCCCAGGAGATATTTTTTCCCTGGATAATCATGTCCACGAAACATTCACCGTTTCGGATTGCAACAGCCCTAACTAAAAGATCACTGATCACCCTGACAATGACCACCTTGTGTTGGTTCTGTCAAAGATGTTCTCCACGAACGACTAGAAGCAGTTGTCACTTGAACTCTACAATAGGAGATGCTGCCGATGGCCAGCGAATTGAATCGCATCCCCATTAGAGGGAAAATAGGATTCTTCCTCGCTGCTCAGCACAAAATACGACCTTCAAAATATCTAAACATGGCTACTTTGTGACGGATCAAATGCACTGTCCACAAAAGTTCGAAAGAATGTGAAGAATCGTAAACCGACCACAAAACACTTCAATTCAACATAGCCGTAAGACGACGTCAAGATTGCGCCAAATCAGTGATATCCTAAATGACTGTAACTCTATTCGAACGATCGAACTATCCAAACTGGCCGCCCCGTAGCCCTATCTAATTCACTTGACTTTCAGAGCCAGCAATACCAGGTTATCCGCAACACGAGGCCGGTGCCAGCGGGTGTTGATGAATTCTCAACACTTACACAGGATTCAGATCGAAACCGCGCTCAACAATCCAGTTCTCACAATACTCGTGTGAACTGAGTGTGCACCATAAGAGGAGGGCACAACATTTGAGTGCTATACTCAATCGTCTACAAATGCCCATCTCTGTCAACACATTATTGATATGTACGTCGCAGAAGATGACTCATATAGTCAATAAGACTTGACTAATCGCGGTTATGTTGTCCAAATACCTGTGCCAAGTCTTACTTTGAAATGCAGCTTTAAGTTTCAGCGATCAGTAACGATCTGTCCCATTGAATTTGGGCAGCGTCTGAATTCGTCTAAATGGATATTTTTTTTCGTTCTGGAAGCTGGAGACGTAGTGAGGTGTTATCAACTTTTCTCGGGGCCTTCTAATAAGGAATGAAAGTCCGCATGCAGAAATGCTGAGGAGAAGTGCATACTACAAGATTGCTTACAGTCACCAATGATTTTCAATATCATGAGCGATTGGACGATGGAGCGAGCATGTCATATTACTACATTAAACTCAGCCAAACCACATGGTTCACAGAGATAGATCAACCGAACCACAGTCCACCATCGGGAGTATCAGCCCATGTGCATCACTTGGATTTCAGATCACCGCAGGAACGTTCTCAAGTACATGAACAACATCAAGGGTGAAAAACCTAACAGCTAATATCCTTGAACTATTTGGGATCAGCAGTGCTGCTAACTCCATCACGAAGGAACTGGACCTCACCGTCATCTTTGAAGACCAAAGCGAACCACAAGCCCTGTTGAATAGACTCACCACCATCATACCATCTTTTAGCATGCTCCTTGCACCTTCAAAGTGCAAAGTCGTGCTTCAGAAAGTGCAGTCCTCGAATATACCCCTTGCAATTCAGGGAGAATCACTGGAGATTGTGGAAAACTTTACATACCTCGGAAGTTGAATTAGCCATGAGGGAAGTGTGCCTGATGAAGTCAGTGCAAAAATCTCAGAGTCACGAATCACGTTTTCTAATTTGCGTCACTTGTGGCGTCAAAAAGGCATTTTACTAGATCTTAAAGTTCATGTGGACCAGGCTATAGTAAGGGCTGTGTTGTTGTGTGCGTTAGAGACAACTTCTGGGAACAGATGATGTGAGGCGTCCTCAGGTTCTCGATCACCGATGCCTCAGAAGTGTTGCTAGTTTTGGATGGCGTCAGCGTATTAGTAACGAGGTGATTAGAAAACGGGCATTTGGTTGTGCGGCAGGTATTTCAATCGGGGAAGACATCCAGCACCCAACTTCGTCCTTCAAAACTGGTTCGCGCACGAATTGTCACGATCTGAAAGTGAGTTAACCAACATCGCTGTTTCCACTAAAAAAACGTTCATTCGTGGCACTCTGGAGACATAATGCAACATGAAGTAAGCACAAAGGCTGAAATGTTGCCAGGTTACCAGATTCTAAAAATTATTGGATTCGAACCAAGGACCTTACGGTCAGTATTTTCACGTCTAGACCGCTGAACTATGTCGAGCTGTTTCTATGGCTGTGTAGAATGGTAACGTCGAAGTGGAAGACCAGATGCCAATCACCTTGGATCGAGTATCTTCTAAGAAGTGTTAGTGGGACCCAAATTGTGTACCAAGTTTGCTAGGGATAGTCCGTCGTGATTGAGAACAACTCTGCAAGTTATTCAGTTCAACTCATCATCAACCAAGAGGTAGGTGAGGTAAAACAAGTGCCAGCACCCAAGACGTTGCATTCTTGAGCTCCGTGTCCATCATTAAGGGGAGAAAACAACTAATCACGACCTAAGTGGACCTCCAACAGAAACGTAGCGCCAGGATCCAGCTCGACCAACAGGAACTTCAAGACAGTGACTAGTTATTCATATAAAAAGTTGATTAGGTCGGAAAATATCTTGTCTGAGAAACGGCCAGTGTTGTGGGGCAACATAAGAAAGACTTCCAGGAACCACAAACAATAAGCCTGGAATATTTTCGAAATCAAGGTAGGCGTACAAAACTGAAAGCTGACGGTCTTTGCCGTGTTGCTGGGAAGTCTGAATAGGAAGTCCAGATAGAAGGGAAGAAGGTACCGAAGGGGTCTACAATAAATTGGGAACAACAGATTCAAATCATTCAGCGTATTAGTTTTAAGAGCCATGGAACAGTTCCGAAACTCATCGGTGAGTCTGTTCTAGAAGGAACGTATTCCTCAAGCCATTGACTCCGCGCCTCAATAGTACACCCCGTTTGTGCTACTCACCCGTGCTCTCACGTCGGTATCATTATTAATAACGTTGGTGCTGTCCGATACGAGAGCAGAGAAGGCTGAGCATGGGTTTGCCTGGTGGTCCACAGGTTCGCTTAACTGATCCAATCTGGAGATAAGCGATTCCAGTCATGTTTGACGTCTAAACCTCTAGTTCTTCAAAGCACGTCAACACCCATTTTATAGGTTGAAAACAAGTGATTCGATACCGACCATGTTCGGAAATTAGCTGGTGGCGTATTCTTAACTGGTGTTGTCGAAATAGGTCACCAATCAGAAAACGGGATATATTTCAGGCAAACACGTCATTTGTGCATACTAGACGGGACCAAGAAGTAACTTGGCGGGGGCTCTATGGCGTATATCAGCCGACTTGGAATGATTTCTTTTCACTCGCCTTCAAAGGAGTTCCGAATGTTTGAACTCACTTCCCCAATCCTTATACTTCACCACCCGTGAAAGTATGAAAGTCCACGGATGCTATTTTCCCAAGTTCATCAAAAGTGGTCTCCGTCAGAAATACTCTTCGTCGCCTTTCCTTTTCAGATTCGTAATCTATTCAATTGCCGAGGAAATGCACGCTACTTCTCCTGCCTCTGTCGTTGAGTCTCTTCTCGGGGAAAAATTCGAAGACCTGGGATACGTGGGCTATTATTGCACCACTTCATCTAGACGTCATCCGGATGCTAAATTAACTAAATAATCTAAGTAAGGCTATTCTGAGATTTGGTAGGTATTTTGCACCTTCAGAATACAAAGTCCTGTTACGAGAATTGGACCAACGCAAACCCCAAAGCTGGTCACGTCCTTGGAACCACAAGAGACAATGGGAAAAATTACCTATTTGAGCAGTCGTATCACGTCGGATGGCAGGATTGTTGACAAATGAGTTCTAGAATGGTAAAACCTAGTTCTGCTTTCCTTAAAATCAGGCACCTCTAAAGTCGACCTGAAATTGGCATGTCGGTCTACAACGCGGTAGTACGCAAAGCGCTGTTTTCGGGGGCGAGATGGCTCAAGTGGTTAGAGCGCGAATTTACCGACCGGAATGTCCGTGGTTCGAACCCGACGTCTGCCTCTTGACTCTCCCTGTCTAGGCTTGGGCAACCTGGCAGTATCCCAGCCCTCGTACTTCCTTCGGGTGGCATGGCAGCTAGGCACCGAAAAGGCGCTACAGCTGAACGATGGTGATGGTGGTGTTTTTCGGTCTTCAAGGCTGGTTACGTGCGCTGAAGACGAAAGATGGCTCGTTTTTTATTATCGGTACCTTCGAAACACTAAAAATGTATCGTAAAAGACCGGGTTATTAGTGATGATAATGCCACGTCGTTTGTCTAACTGATGAGTTAATCCGGCTATACTAAACACGCTGGCTGTCGACTGACGGCCTCGCCGTGTCATGTTTGCCGAGGCAGATTCCAACTAGAAAATACAATATATGACTTGGAAGCGACGCAGGTACCGGTGTGCTGTCTAAGAGGTTGAGGTTGCAGAGACCCGCCACATTAATGGCTGGGGGTATTCACCAACAGGGCGATGTCACACCACCAGTGTTGTATCTATTCTGCTGTTCCTAATCACCCACCCACTATTCCTTCTTTATGTTTTTGTGTACGCCCTTTACTCTACCTTCCTGCTGTAATAAGCTGCGGTGACACCGCACTTACGTAGATGGTCCACGGCTGTCAAGCGATTCAGACATTCGGCTGTCGGACCTTGAAGCAATCACAAATACAGTTCGGAATTCATAACATCCATAGGATGATGATGTTTCAAAAGCCCGTGAACTTATATGAAGGTGAATATTTTCGTATGTAAATGACGTTTTTCGAAGATAGAATCCGGAAAACAAGCGTCCTCAATATCATGGAGTTACTAGGTCACAGACGACGTCTCTAATTGACCGTCGTTCCGAAATCAATCGAATCGACCATGACATATTCCGTAGGCGCCTTATGTAAGTGAATTAGTTGGAAATCGTCAACATCATCAGAGACAGCAACATCAGTGTCGGCACTGACGCTTAGCTGCCGTACGACCATAAGATTTACCTAGTTATACCTACCTAGTTATATATATATACATATATAATTATATTAGAAGCCGTGGGGTGAAGAAAAACAGTGGGTGAGGGAGGGGACCTAGTGCTGGCCTGAGTCAAGCATTCGGAGGTGCCTACAACTCCAGCCGTTCAATCAGACAATCTGGAAAGAAACTGACAGCACGAACACCACTGACATCGATTAGCCACCATTTCTTGCAATGTCTCCAGCCAAGCACAAGACTAGGTCACGGGGACCCCATCCTGGAGGGCGTACAACACCATCTACACACAAATTCTTCGTGATCTCTTTCACGCCTTTCTGCCAAGACATGCGCTGTCCACCTCGCGGTTTGCGCCATCCTGAACGAGGCACGGAGAACAACACGCATCTCGGTAGACGGTGTTTCGGCATGCGTAGCACATGACGGTGACATCGTAGTCGGTGGTACTGGATGTTTTATCCGATTGAAATACCTGCCGCACAACCAAATACCCGTTTTCTAATCACCTCGTTACTTACACACAGAGGCCATCTAAAACCAGCCACGGTTCTGAGGCATAGGTCAAGTCAAAAGCCTGAAGACGACTCACATCATCCCTTTGCAGAGACCCCGCCTCACCCATACAACAACACATCCTTTACTGTAGCCTGGTACACACGACCCTTAAGATCTAGTGATTTTTTTAAGCAAATTGGAAAATGTGATTCGAACTTCTGATATTCTTGAACTAACTTCATCAGACACTTCCATCAGAGCTAACACAACTACTGAGGTATGTAAAGTTTTCCACAATCTCCAGTGTTCCTCCCTGAATTGTAAGGGACATGTTCGGAGACTGCACGTTCTGAAGCATGGCTTTGCACTTTGAAGGTGCAGACTGCATGCCAAAAGACGGTATGATGGTGGTCAGTTTATGCAACAGGGCATGTGCTTCGTTTCGGCCTTCAAAGATGAGGGCGTTGTCATCCGCATACTCCAGATCAACAAGGCTCTCACCATCAACAATCTGAACACCGGGGTTTTGAAGACCGTCCAGCGTTCGCCTCATTATTCCATCAATGATGAAGTTGAGCAAGAATGGAGAGAGTGGACATCCTTGTCTGACACCAATTTTTGTAGGGAAGCAGTATGCGAATATAGGGATCGAATTTAGTTAACGAACGTCTGTTCAGCAAGTGTAGTTAACAGAACTGATCGATCAACAGAATCGAAAGCACCCTTGAAGTCAAAGAATACCAGGATTGTGGGTCGTCTATACATGTGGCGTTGCTCTTACACCTGACGGAGTGTGAAAATGTGGTCAACGCAGCCTCTACTCCCTAGAAATCCCGCTTGATTCTCACGAGTCAATGTTTCGCGTGCCGCCATGAGGCGACGAAGAATCAGTGACTCCAGAAGTCTTGTCATACTTTTATGACAAGTCAAACTCTGTGGTTTCTACATTCACTGCAATTACTCTTTTTCGAGAATATGCACTACTATCGATTCACTTCAGTTGTCTGAGACGGCGTCTTTCTCCCAGATACACCCAAATAGGCTAGACAGGCACTGGCTGAGAAGTCCACCAACATCCTTGATAACAACAAGAGAAAGGTCGTCAGGACCAGCAGCACGGTGACGCTTGAGTAGGGAAATACACTCGGACACTT